TACTTGACTTTCTGGGTTCTCTTTGGATTCAAAGCTAAGAACTTTAGTTTTATATTTCTGTAAAGAAGTTGCTTGAAAAAAAATAGAACTAAAATAAAAAGGAGAGCGGGAAGTTCATTGCCACTTATTATCGAGGCTATGAATTAGATCAGGACACTGGATTGTGGTTTGGTTCTGGGCCCACAGGCCCTGGTAATCAAGCCTTTGGCTTTGAGCACATCACTTGAGCTCTCCCAATGTCACCATATCCCATATGGACGCAATACTGCCAGGCACTGCACACATGCTATCATGTCAACACCAAGAAAAGCTGGTCTGTTTCCTGTCTGTGCATCTTGATAAAAACCCAGAAGAGAGTTGCAAAGATGAGTTAAGATTCCTAAACTATCATAGCAGACCTCTCCTGACTCACCCACTGTTCCTCTTAGCAGTATATTTCAATAAATCCACCTTTTCTATTGTCTAAAAATATTTCTAAACCTTTCCTTTCAGAAAGGGTAAGGGACTTGCTTGATTCATCCTGAAGAAAAGAGATTTACACTCTCCAAATATATGAAGGGTATTTACCCAGGGGCCAGTGAGAGTATGAGGACCCCACATTCTCAATCTGCACTGAGTGGAGTGTGCCCAAGCCCAGGCACTGACAGGAAGTGTGTGACATAAAGGGCCACCGACACAGCTGGCCAGAGTGTCCCCTGGGGGGGGGGGACAAGGTCTGAGCCCTGCAGAAAGCCAGCTCAGAGCCCCCGCCAGATACACTACTCAGTAAGTTGCCTCTTTGTCCCCTTCCTTTGTTCTTAGGCTTCTTGCTACTCCTCAGAGTCAGAGCCCTGCCTCAATCTGGCTCCCCCAACACTCTGCTGCTGCCCCACTGTGGACACTAGGTGAGAGCTTTGCCCACCTCCCTGCCCTGAGGGTTCTGGGGCCTTAGGTTATTAGCTAAGTCTCTCCTGTCCGTGAGGCACGGTGTCAAGGGACAGTTCGCACAGCAACCCCATCAGAGCACCTATCACAGGCACCGGTATCCTCATTTATGGCTGAAAAATCTGCATTTCTAGACGGGTAAGTTCCAGGGCTAGGAATAAAATCCAGGCTTGGCCGAACCCTGTGTTCTTTCAGCTCTATCAACTCCTGTCCCAGGGAGGAGTGTGAGGACTTTCAGGAGCATGTAGCCGCAGAAAGAAAGAGTGAGAAGTGGGTTCCACTTCCTGCCCCTCGTCTTCTGTTCCCACAATGTGCGAACACTCGGAAACCTGGTTTATGGCATAATTTATGATACATGGTGTTCCAAAAACTCATTCAAATTATTCTGTATCTCCTGCATTTTACTGAAGTAAAAGTTTGGTGATGCAGACCTACCAGTGAGGCCTACTTGCTATTTCCATTGTTGGTTTAGACTGATGAACTCTCCTGGTAAACACTACACTTGGGTAAAAGGGAGGGGAAGAAGAACCCAGAAATCCCCGATGAGACCCTAATTATCCCTCCTCTGGAATCCTGCAAATAAAGAGGATTCCATATTATTATCAAGAGCAGAAATAATACACAAATTACGTCACCACAAAGAAAGACATACTAATGAACATGCCCAACTGGAAACAAGCACTTGTACATTTGAGAATTACATCATTATTTATGTTGCTGTTACCTGGGCTAATTATGCTTTGATTTAAGTATCTGGTGAGCCTCTGGTGCTGTTTACCAGGAAGCCAGGTGGTCATTACTTAGGATAAAAGCACACCTGAAGAGCTGGGGACTGGAGGGTCATGGACAGGCCTGCCGAGTTTTGCTCCTTAGGATGATGTAAGTAAAGTGCCTGGCAAGTAACTGTCAACAGAGTACATTTCTTTCAACCCCTTCTACTTGCTAGATATTAGCCAGCCCTCAGCCTCAAGCTCTGATAGATGTCTAGTCAAGTTAGACCAAAGGACAAAATTGCAGGACAGGAAATGACCGGAATTATCATCCAGCCTAACCCTTCCCATCTGGGGTTAGGTTGCCTGGTTAGGCTAAAGCACACACCAGTCACATCCCATTATGGGGAACTGCACAGGACATGCAAGCAGTGGAATTTTATTAGACAGTAAGAAATCACATTAGCTGCCGCTCGAGCAGACATACACGCCCAGGCTTCTTCAGCGTGCTAGCAAGAAAAACAATCCTTTGGCACATCCTAGAAGGGAGTGTGTTCACACAGTCTCACCCCCACACCTTTTTCTGTGCTGTCTTGTAGGTATTTTAAAATTTGCTCAATTGCTATGAATATCTTTTTTTTCCCCGCTGATGGGGCTGGAGCACTAGAGGTAGGGGATCTGAAGGGATGCTTGATAGGAGCAATAATAGAGCAGTGAAAACATCACTTATGCCTCATTTCAACTCTATCCACCCTTTCAGTGACTACAGCTAGATATCTTTACTAAAGAAAGGGACTCAGACAAGAATCTGGGAATGTCTGTTCACAGTGGATCCTTCTTGCGTGCTCTAGGTGGCAAATTCGGTGGCTACTCAGTCTCTGCCCCTCTCTTGACCCCCTTGCTCTCCCAAAATGAAACCTCTTCCAAAACAGGCTGCCCTCAACCCCCAGCAGCAACAGTGGAGAATTCAGATGTGTAGGGCAAAGTTGGGGCACAGCAAGTCTAGCTTCTAGGAAGGGATCTAGGAAGGAGTCCCTGGAGTCCTTTTTCCCTCCAGAAAAAGATCCCAACTCCAGGAGCAGTGAGGAAAAAAAGCACAGAAAAATTTCTTCTTTTCTTCAGAGCAACACATGCTAGCACTTTACAGAGTCTAAATGCTGGCATGTGTCAGCATTTCTCAAGTAAACCTTATTTTCTTTAGATGAAAGAGATTAAAAAAAAAAAGGGCTAAGAATTCAGTCCTCTAAAAATTGCTTTGGCCATTCACATGGAATAAGCCATAGAAGCAAGACAAAAAAAAAAAAAATCAATTGCTTCTGATTCATTTCTTCATTCATTTGTCCTTATCCTCTCCCTCTTATGTAAAAAAGGATATCCTCTATAATTTTGCAAGTCATAAATCTTTTGAAGGAAAAAGAATCCAAGTCCCCCATTAGTTGTCCAACATCTTGACACAGATGTTAAATTAATTATCCTGTTGCCTATAGATTATGTAAGAAAAAAGAATGCTTTTGTTCCTCAAATATTTCACCATTGGGCCCTCCCTGGTGGCGCAGCGGGTTAAAGCACAGCACTGAGAAGCTAAAGCCGCTTCCGCATGAGTTCGATTCCCGCCTGCCCAGGAGGTGACCACATGGCGTGGCAGACCTCTCCTGACCCGCCCGCTGCTCCCCTCAGCAGTGTACTTCATAGATCTGCCTGTTCTGTTCCCCACTCTGTCTCTGGTGAAGCCTCTCACCCTCCACATCTCTGGCCTGTACCCCAGTTCTGTATGCACAAATAAATAAATCTTTAAAAAAAAAAAAAGTATTTCACTACTGTCTGATTAGGAGGCTCCTACCAGACTTTCAAGTTGGATGAACTTGGGATCACATACCTTATTAAGAGAAATGCAAGGACTTAGTTTACTGAGTCTTTATTTCTTACTTTGGATGCTGGGTACACTGCTCCCTATTTTATTATTCTTTAGGCCCTTCTGTACGTCTTAATATTACATACTAGATCTTGAATATCACATACAAGATACTGTTAAATTCTCGAATCTTCTAAAACAGATTCTATTCTGGGCTGTTCAAAGCTAAGAGCAGAGAAGGAGTGTTAGAAATGCCAACATATAATTGCAATAAAGAGCAGAAAATATAAGAGAACAATTTTGGAAAGATGTTTCATGTTTGAAACCTATGCCAAATAATTGAGATCTCTGAAAAGAGAACTGAATTCTATTATGAGCCCAAAAGACACACAATTATTGAATTATTCTGAACACCTGTTGGAATTGGGTGATAAATTAGCTAAATGAGAATCATCACTGTCAAGTACATCATTTTACCAGCTCCTTTGAATGTGCTCACATAATCTCTCCTTCCATCACTGAACCTTAAACTATTGCTCCATCCCTAAGGGGAGGTTGTAGAATGCATTTGTGTTTGTAATTATGGGGAAGTGGTGTATGTTCCTGTCTTCCAGCCAGGGGCTGAGAGACCTCTGATTCTGTCTTTCTCCAGCCTCCCAAGCCCTGCCAAGAGGAGCTAGCTCTGATCTTTCAACCCCCTCCTATAACCTAAAGCCACTGTCCCCTTGAATTCAGAGAGGAGGAGCAGTAAGGTAATCCCAAAAACTAAGTTTCAGTTCTAATTCCCAGCCTCCCTGCAGCCCCAATCCACTGCCATCTCTCTGTTTCCACTTGGACAAGGTTTTTTTTTTTTTGGACAAGGTTTTATGGCTCAGTGTTCCCGGCTACTTCATGCTCAGTCCTCGCCACCTGCCAGCTTTTAAAGGCATGAGTGAGCAGGATATGAAGAAGAGGGCCCAAGAATAAGAAAGAAAGAAAATATGACAATTGGAGACCATCTACACCTGTTGAATCAGCTCAGGGAGAGCAGACGCTTCCTCATACCATTATTTCTATTTAAAAGTAGGTCTCTTGCCTGCATAAGGAACTGGTAAAAAAGTAACACTTCTATAAAAGCTCTAAAGAAGTTAAGAATCTGAAATTTGACACATATATGTTTCATTTCTGAATTCCATTAGACCAACTGGCTTTCCTTCCTTCCCACCACACACACACACACACACCCCCTCGAGTCTCGGGATGAGCCTGCCACTCCCCAGAGCCTGCCTCAAAATCACTGTCAGGAGCGCCTGCTTTATTGGCCTCCTTGTACATTGAAATCTTCCCTCTGCTCCACCAAAGCTAACAGATGGCTGGTCCCTTTTGATACACAGGCGTAAGCATCTTCAAAATAACCTTTTCCTTTAAAGTGTGCCAGTTAATTAAATGTCGCTGTAATGGGTCCCAACCACACACAGAAGGGAGAGACAAAGGGCTCACAGAAGAGAACAGTATCAGAGGTCACCCTCTCCTACCTTCACCCGATGACCCCGAGAGATCGATGATCACATACACTTTTCCTTCTGGTTCCAGATCAATCTGCAATTTAAGAAAATGACAATGACTCTGTTAGTGGCGACAACCCAAGAGGTCCATGTATTCCCCCCCCATACCATTAAAACCTAGAGTCCCAGCTCCATGCATTCATTGACCTACAGCTGTCAAGGGCTGGGTGAATTAGGAATGAAGGTGACTGGCATTGAGGGATTATCTGCTGTGTGCAGACGCAGCCCTGGGGGGTCGGACATCCCCAGAGGGACTGTCATCCCTGGTTCTCCTCTGGAGGTGATTGTACAGTGCAAGGGAAACTTGGCACAGGGGACACTTGCCACAGAGACACTTCTGGGACACAAAAATATTTTTGTTGTTGCTTGGTACAATTAGACGGACGGGAAGTGCTGCTACTTGGATCTAACAGGTGGGGGCCAAGGATGCTGAGAAACAGCCTAGTGCATACAGAACAGTCTCTGTGGCGAATGACCATCCAGCCCCGAGGCCAGTGGAGTAGAGGCAAGACACCCTCAGTGCTGGCAGGGCTTTCCCATGCCTCTCGTATCTAAGTCCAGATGCCAGTCAAGGTCACGCAAGAGCTCTGCCAACATCCAGCTGTCCCATTTTGGAAATAAGGAAACGGGACTCAAAGTTCCAAGTACGTGGCAATGCTGATGCCCGATGCCAAAACTGTCTAAAGAAACCCATGTTCTCCAGACTTTACAAACTACCTCCGGGGAAAGTGAGAGAAGCCTAATACACTATTCTTTTCTCTCAAGGTGTTTACAATCTCATCAGGGAATTAAACAAAAACAAACAAACAAAAAACAGAACAATGCTGAACTCACGCATATCGAAAATGGTGCAGAAAAGCAGTCTGGAAAGACTTTATAAAGGCAAGAAAGGGAAGACATTGGGGTGGGGGGAAAGAGCATAAGCACAGGCTAGGGGTTCATGTGGTGCTTGTGCAAGGCTAAAGGGCCCCCGCATTCCGGTGCATGTTGACTGCACAGGACTTTTGCAAACCCCAGGTTCTCCCAGGGCTACCAAGAGAAAGTCAATACCTGTAAACTCTTCCCTTCTGCATCCACCCTAACACCCTTCTTCTGCATATTCAAGCCACCTAGCTCTCCTCCACAGAACCAGGCTGCAGAGAGCGGGCAGAGGGACTGTTAAGACATCTTTATAAGGTCTGAGTTGTCCTCGTAGAAACCGTTTTTCATGAGTAGTAACTCCGGAAAGCAAGATCACTGAGTACCCCCGACAGCCCATCCCTGCCTCCACAATCCCATCTGTCTGTGTGGAGCTTTCATTGGCTAATTCATGCCAGGCTTGCCTCCTCCACAAGCTGTGAGTTTCTTGGGGGCAGGAACCACTCTCCTCTTTTCCATTGTCCCCGCACAGCGCAGTCACACACTTAGCAAGCAGCACTCAGGCAGGGTCTGCAGAGCACCTTCTCCTCCTTCCAAGTCAAGGGCATCGTGGCCTCCATCTGCAGCCTTTCCAGAGGTCACAGTCAGAATTCATGGCCCCTCATTGCTGTCCACAGCATCTTTACCTACCTAAATCGCAGCTCCTTTAACCTACACTATATTGTCCATATGTCTATCTCCTTTGCCAAGCTGAGTATAATAAACATATTTGCATCTGTGGTACTTAATTCACTGGCTGTTGGTCAGGAGACACCCAAGAAACATTTGTGGAGTAGAAAATGCTCTATGTTTAGAACCGCTAGAGACTATTCAGGAATCAGTCACCCCTCCAGCTCCTCTCCTCCAACCTCCCACTAAGCCTTCTACCTGCATGTGATCTGTGCTAATTTGAATGAGGAGGGTAGGAAGGGGAAAGGCAACTATGCCCTGTGGCCACAAACCCCCAGGAGGTAAAGAAACCCACCTTCTCCCACATCTATTCCACCCACAGCTGCGTCCCATGCCATCCTCTAGTCCCACTTCATTTTACTCAGCCCTCAGTGATCAACCACACTTAAGGTTCCCTCAATCTTTCATTTCCACCAACAGGAGTGGTCAATGCCAGAGAGGGGTCTGTCCCAGACCCCGCCAGGGCAGGGAATGAAGGTATGAAGCTATATGCTCACCTGCGTTGGGACTGCAGGTGGGAACCAGCATACAAACTAGTGATTCATGAGAAGACTCTTGTAGGTTAAAAATGAAGGTATCAGGCTTTTAGCACCGCTAGCCTTTTTGGCCGTCACCTTGGCCTTGATCGTGCTGATGCAGGAGGCGCTCACGAGCACAGGCGTGGGGCACGCGTGCCTGACTGCGGACGCCTGGCGCGTGGCGCGGGCTTGCTTAAGTGTGCACACGTGGGCCAGGAGGCCAGGCATACAAGGGTGGCATCACTGAGACAGAGGACAGCTACAGAGGACGGATGAGTACAGGAGAGGCAAGGCCATGAGAGAACGCCAGAGAGAGCCCAAAGAAAGAGTGTAAAAATTCATGGGGGCCGGGAAGCTCAGTTGCCTGCCTGCCTCCGAGCCCCCTGCCTGGCCCATGCCTGCCCCTTTACATGCCAGCCTCCCGAGCCTGTGCATCTGGTTCCCTGAGAAAGCATTAAAGCCTGCAAAACCCACCAAGGGCTCTGGGAGTCTTTTTTATCCCTCTGCCTGAATCCACAGTGCTTCCCAGCACAACTTGCCAGCACAACAGCTCTTCCTGCCTCAATCACCTCAAGCAGCCGTGATTCTAAGTTTCTGGGTAAGGCCCCTTACCGTGAGCACAGACCCCACCCTCGCCCCAGTCCAACACTGCCCCTGCACTGAGTTACTAACGGGAAAACCAACAGTCAACTCTACTGAACACGGCCAAGCCAGAATCTTGTCCTTGCCATAGTTCAAAAATATCAGGGGCCCCTTGTCCAAAAGCATGGAATCTAAATAATGTATGTTTTTTAGAGATTAGATCATCCCTATTAAGCCCTTCTGGCAAAATGAAACACTTTCTCATATCCTCCAAGTCAAAGATTTCCCACGATGGGGGACTTGACTGACGAAGTACAATGCTATCAGTGAAAAGCAGGGAGGGAGACGGCCAAGGAATGAGATGCGCTGAGACGCCCCTTGGGAGGCAGGCAGCGTGCCTATCTTTGTAAAGGGGGAGTGAGAGCTCGCGGCGGGGGCCAGGTCATCGATGATAAAACGTATTAGGATATTAACATTCAAGATAGCCATCAGAAACCATTTTAGCACCCACGGCTGCCTCGATGCCGATGAACTGCATTTCCAAACAGAAAAATAGAAATTAAGCTATTAACCATGCCAAGAGCAACAAAGAGCTTTGCAGCCTGGGCAGAGGCTGCAAAATGCTAGCTGAGCCCCAGCCTGCGGGCAGAGCGGAGAGGCCCTGCTACTCACGGAGGGTGGGGATGACCGCAGGGGTTATCAAGTACAAAGGGTGGTAGGGTGGGGTGCAACTTCGTGGCTAAATTAATTTAATCAAAATTGTGCTCGTAATTATGTGGCATGTGTAATGAAGGCAATGTAGGTGCCCAGCCCAGCACAACCCCTGCAAACTGTCAGCTGGCATCACCAGCAGGCCACTGGCACCACATAAAAGCAGGCCTCCTTCCTCCTCCAACCATTCCCAGGCATAGTGCTAAGCTCCTTCTCTTGTGCCAGGCTCCTCCCAGTCCGCCTTGATGTCACTCTATTTATCAAATCTCCTTGAAGCTCATACCTTTACTTGAATGTCTCCCCAGCTATCATTTCTGGGTTTTGGCCTATGATCCTCTTTCAACCTCCGGTGCCTCTGGACACCCCTCCAGCTGAGGCATGCAATAAAGCAGGAGAACAGAGGGGGAGACAGACAGAACTTTGGGGATCAGATCCTGGCTGCATCCCAGTTGGTCAATAACCAAGTCAAGCAATTATTTACTCTCCCCGAACCTCAGCTCCAGTCTCTTCATCTGTGAAATATGTCGCTAAGAAAATTCATTAAGAGATACATGCAAGGCACTCGGCACTCAGGAGTTAACACATATGTGGTGGTTAAGAGAGAACTTGGTGCTCTGTAGCCTGCAGCAGGCAAGTTATTCTCTCTAAGCCCCAGACCGCTCCTCTGTGAATGGGACCTAATGACAGGTCCTGTATCATTTGTGCTGTTGTGATTGTAAATGAGATCATCTAAGTAAAGTACTTGGCAGGGCACCTGGCACAAAATAGTCAGTAATCGCTGGGACTGCTATTGTTCAAAAACCAAGTCTTCAAACCTGCTACTTAGTCCAATGTCCTTTCTACTTACCAAGTTTACCCCCAAGAAAAACAGCCTTTTCTTGACCCATGGTGATAAAGTTACAGGTTACTCCAGGACATCTGATGGCTTTACAGTGTTGAGAATGTTAAATAAAGAACTAAGAGTTTCACCCAGAGTAGGTGACAACCAGGGACAGAAAAAGGCCCGAGTCCATGTCCTCAGAGGGGCGAGGGCGCCGTGAGAGGAGACGAGCCCCTGAGTCTGTTGGGAGCCCTAGGACTTCATTTACTCACCTATCAGGCCAGAATATGCACTGCAGGCTTTGGGGAAACTGTAGCTCAGAGCACTGTAAACCAGCTTCCCATCCAGAGCTGAGTTCCCAGGAGTGTCAGGTACATGAGGCCTTAACCAGACATGTACTCCCTTCTCTGAACCTCCAGCTCATCTCTTTGCTTATTTCTCCTTTACAGATGCAACTTACTGATTTGGGGTCCAAGATGGTTTCAAGTAAAGCCACAGCTCACACACCTTAACCATTCCCTAGAGTCCTTGGGGAAAGGCCCAAGCCTAAACAGAGCTCCCTCTTTTGAATTTGGAACAAAACAATGGGCAAAGAGGCTAAATCATAGAAACCCATGAAAAAAGCAATCTCTGAAAAACACAGGCCGACAGGTTAACCACCATTCCCTAAACTCTTCACATACCTTTTCTCATTTATTCCTCACCATTGACCTATTGCACCAATGTATGTATTCAAAAACTGAGGTTTAGAAGCCCAAATAACATAAGCCCGTGAGAGCACACCCCATACTACTCCAGGCACACCATTCACAAGAG